ACTTTATTAGCCATGAATGCCTCCTTATACAGACTTTCTAAAATTTACATTCTAAAAGGTAAATGCCTTTGCTCAGAGGATCCAGATTGTCCAGGAATGTGAGAAATTCATGGATAATGGATTTCTAACAGTGAGATGAAGACTTAAGAATTGGCCGTGAGATCAGCAATGTGGCTGTCATTGATGACTTTGACAGGAGAGGGTCAAGGGAAGTGGGAATGGGTTTAAGAGAGCTCCTGCCTTTGCTAGTGACTGAATCAGGAAGTGACCCTCCTTGGGGGGGAAGACCCCACTTTGCAGAGGTCGCAGAGGTCTGGGGAACAGGGAGGTGTGGCTCAGTGTGGCTTTTCTTCCAGGGACTCAAGGTCAGACTGGCACAATGGACACCAGCCCTCTGCTGGTCAGCCCCCTAAAGCTGATATGGGTTATATTGGCACTTCTGCAGCCTGCTCAGGGCGGTGGCCTCTGTCACTTCCACTCCCTGTGATCCCTGTCCCTGACAGAGGTGGCCTCCTGGGATGCACTGTGCACTGGTGAGCCCTTTTCCGCCCCACCCCACTCTGTGATGACTACATTCCTCCTGTCCAGATGGGAAGCCGGTGGAGGTGGACCCTCACCACATCCTCATTGAAGACCCTGATGGCTCATGCTCCCTCATCTTGGACAACCTTACCGGCATGGACTCGGGCCAGTACATGTGCTTCGCGGCAAGTGCTGCTGGCAATGCCAGCACCCTGGGAAAGATCCTGGTGCAAGGTGAGCCCAGGGAGGCCCACCTGAGGGCCACCATGGTGGGGTGGGGTCTCTGTTTGCAGTTGGGCTGGGGCCACCCCAACTCCATCAACAACCTGGTGGTCCCTTCTAATGAATGGAGCATACAGATGAGGCTGGCAGGGGGAGCCAACGGGTGTGGGTATGATAGTCCAGAGGGGTGAGGCGGGGGTGGTGGCTCCAGACATCTGACCATGGTCTGGTGGAGACGGGCCAGGCCAGAACACTTATTGCTGCTACGGCTCACTGAAGGTCTGGAAGGGGCCGGGATGGGGGGACCCTGGCCCTCAGCTGCCCTGTACCCACCCCATCAGCACGCCTTTCTCTTGGCCTGCAGTCCCCCCACGGTTTGTGAACAAAGTCCGCGCTGCCCCCTTTGTCGAAGGAGAAGACGCCCAGTTCACCTGCACCATCGAAGGTGCCCCGTATCCTCAGATCAGGTAGGAGACCCGGGGCAGCACCTGGCTGCAGTGGA